TTTTGAGCAAAAATTCCTCTTGGGGGTTGGAAGGGTTATGTGATCGGTGAGTGAGGGAGTTATGCATGTGCGCGTGTCACACCAATCACAGTGCGGGTTTTATCAAAGAACGAATCAAATTGCCTGTTAGAAAATAAGATGTATCTACATTAATCTGGAGACGTGTCAGATTACTGTAGTTTGTTCAGTCAAACGTTTCATGGCTTACTATTTAGCTATCTTACCATGACCGATGTAACATCGCATGTACATCATAAATTCCCAGTTTGTTTCTTGCTGTACATCACAACCAAAAAAACTTGTCAAATTAACCAAATCGTTACTGTAAACAGCTCCATGAATGCTCCTATCTCCGACACTTCACACAAAAAAGTAACTCTTGCACGCCTGGCGTGCCTGTGTTTATTTTTGATGGCGTGACAGAGTAGACAGAGTGGTGAGTCCAAGTTGGTGTGGTCTATAAGCTAAAATACTGAGTTTGCAACGGATTCTTACAAAACTTCGAATATCTCGTAAATTCGGCATGATAAATCGGTGACCATTTGTCTGTGAAGGTGTTTTTTTGTTGCGTATATGAAAAATACCAAAAATTGTTGATATTGCGTGACATTGTGGAACAAGCCAATCAAATCCCTCGGCCTTTGCTGCCTTTCTGCTTGCTAGTCATGATGGTCAGACTTATTCAATCCCATAATAGTCAGTATAAATCCACGCAGTGCACTATGGATCGTTCTCTTCGTTAGTTCTTGGTTGGAAGATGGGTAAGGGTACACGTGTTTTGGGATTTTTCACACTTTTTACCGTTCACAACAACATAGAACACCCGAATGAACATCAATCTTCAACCTTAGTCACTCTATTGCAATACCTTGTTTTTTCAAGGAAAGCCAAGAGGTTTAAGAACCGCTCGTAAACTCAAGAATCACCGCCGAGACCAAAGATGGCACGACAAAGGATACAAGAAAGCGCATTTGGGAACGGCTCTGAAAGCTAACCCTTTTGGTGGTGCTTCTCATGCTAAGGGAATTGTTCTCGAGAAAGTGTATGTATAGAAGGATTTTTTGTCTTTGTAAACGTAACTTTAAAGGCTTCAAAGCTTTATTTCCTCCATGCATGATCCATCACCATCGATACTACCGATTTTTATAACAGGCTATAAATCTACTACTTCAATTTTGGTTGTTCAAAAACAATATTCAAAATTATGACGTTACGAAAGTGCATAATAATTAAGTACAAAAGTTCTTTCAGTTGATTTCTTAATTTAGTGGCGCCACAGCTGACTTGTGGGGAGTATAGAAGCGTATGTAATTCACTATTTTAAAAAGCGAGGTTAGAGTCACTGGGTTGAGGTAAACCATGAATACACAGTGCTATTTCCTCGAACATAAATTGTGTACTTATTCACTGGATGGCCTGCTTCCGTTGTGCCTGGAACAGCAGATAAACTTGGTCACCTGTTCACATACATTATAATGGATAAATATCTTTATTAGCACTTTGTATGGTACGGTGTATTGTAAGAAGTTATGCCATATTGAGTGGAAATACAAATGACATTCAGAAGTATACAATGATTTAACATGCTGTAAGTCTAATACAATGCTGCACAAATATGATTTGACAGTCACTTGTGTATGGATTTTTGAGTTTCTAATCTGAGACCAAAGTTTTGAGTTTTTAGTTTCAAATCAAGAAATTTAATGAGCTTGTTTTTGACTGACCTCTTAATGAACAAGAAGCCTAAAGGTTTTCATGTGGGATGCTTTGGTTGATGCGCTAATGTCATCAACTTTGAATGGCTATCTGCCTAGAAATAAATCCAAATGGAAATGCCAACATCCGGTTTTGCAATGGTATTTTCTTCAACAAAAAGATAACATCTATTGTTAGATATCTTGTACATAGCTCTTCTTGTTTTAGATAAAATATGACTATTCAGGTGGTAAAGGGATTTCAAATGAAACAAATACAAAGAAATGACTTTTGGCCTGGATCAGCTATTCAAAAATCAGGTTTCACTGTATAAAAAGTAAATCTTTCAAACTGAAAATATGACTTTGGAAGCATGCAAACTTGTGCCAGTGCCTTCTCCACTCATCACTAAGACCTCTCCATGGAAGACCTCTTACAAGACATGCGATAGTAATCCAGTAAATGTATGCCCACACGACCTAACCCATGGGTATTGTTTGTTTCACTTATGGTTACTGTATACCTTCAGAGGTGTCTCGTGTCCAAGGGATGTAGTGCATCCAGTTTAAACTGTACATGCCGAAACCCCCATATCAAATTAAAGCTTATAGAGCTGGCTAGATCAGTGAAGTAATCAATATCTTCACTAGTGAGGATATGGAAAATAAGCCACCCAAGTCTCGGATGTGGTTTTGTGTGAATTTTACAATTGGTGTATCTTCCAGAGAACACTTGTGCCTATATAATAAATGTTTATATGTAACGAAGAAACAAAAGATTTCAGTGTGTAGTTTTGTAAGGTAGATTGCAGAATGCTTGGCCACTGAATATCTAAAAAAACTCTGTTCTGTTAAATTCAAGACACTTTATTTTGTCTTTTAACCCTTTACCTCCAAAGGCAAATGGCAGTTTTTCCTAAATCAGCAAATAAAGACTCTCTACCTGTGTACAATATACTATTTGAAAGCTACTGATCAGCTTATTTAAGAACTGACATCAGCCGTTATGAAAGAGGTAGTCATTTTGGGAGAAATAGTTTTAAAATGTGAAACTGAAAAACTTCCAACACGTATCAATTCTCAAATAAGATAAGTATGCCCCTGAACTATAGCTTATTAAGCAGGAAGTAGTACTTAGCTTGATGTGAAACAAGTCTTGCATTCCATGTGCATCTCAAAAACAAAATTGGAAAATAATGGGGGTGGTCAACCATGCCTTAGATAGGAGGGAGTCACAATTTTATGCCTTCAATGAGCACATCTTTACAAGGCAATTTTCGTGGCAAAAATTCTAGTAATCTGTCAAATATTCACAAAGTTATGACGTTGTGTGCCAAGTGGCACTCTTAGGAGTAAATTATAGTGGGCAGTGATCTCCCGCCTTATCTTTCAAATCAGTCAGTTGTAGTTCAGTTATAGTAAACAACAGAGTAATCATATGGTCAAATGAACAATAACAAAGTCCTACAACTTATAAAGTGATAACCTGTGTCTATTGGCCGAATTTTTCACTTACCTGCCAAGCTTGAATTTTTTGAAGCCAAAAGAAAAAAGATCAGTTTTTCGCGATTGCTTCTATGCCATGATGCTAGAAGTGACACGGYAACGAGGTTGTCCCTGCCASTTATTTAAGGTTACTTCCCCAACTTCGCGGGTGCCCTTCGGGAAYAATACCGTACGRGCACCAGTTTCAATAAAACCCCAACAAACTACATATCATAAGAAAGCTTAATAAATGTACTTTACGAAAAAAAATACCATTTTAGCAATGTTTTCTTTTAGGAAGTGTCAGGGGGCGGTAAGGCATGAAACGACCAAGGCTTCTTCTATTGAATTTATCAGGTATCAGATTCTGCAGTACAAGCAAAATGGCTGCACAGTCTCATTCACAAGACATCAATCAACAAAAGCGTGTCAGGCTTTTTCGATATTCTGATTGGTTGTCTAGATATCCACTTCTAAAGGTGGAGTAGCTAAAAATATGCAAGACGTGTTGCGTAAATGGATGCCACTGGAAAAATGTGGTAAATATCAAAATTTCCCAACACATTTGGGTTTGTCATTATCTCTGGAATGTTCTGGTGAAATTTCACGAAAATCCGTCAAATCTGCATACCCTATAAATTCACTCAGTGGATGTAATCTTCCAAAAATTAAATGCGAGATTTTAGCTCGTAAAGGTTCGTAAACAACTTGCGCCACGCCTGGAGATTATCACACTTTATAAAACCGCAAACCAATGGAACAACAGGACCTCCTAGTGTCTATGACAATAGATCAAGATTTCCTGGGAAAAGCATTGCATTGCAACATGTTTTTGTTATCTCGCTCAGTGGAGTTCAATTCAGGATGGCGATGTAATATAATGAGCAAAGATGGCAAAGGCAAAACCCATGCCAAAAAGGTTAAAGGTGGAAAATGTGCCGCTGAAAAACAAGACGTTAAGGAATCAACGGACAGCTTAAGAAATACCCTTATTGCTGAAATGAGTTCTCTTGGGTAGGTTTCATTTTCTTCATCACTTCCGCCAGATTCTGATGAAGAATCTTGTTTGCAGCCTGCACTAACATTGACTTTGATTTTTAAGCTACTTGCTCCAAGGATAATCGAATGCTCCGGATCTTCAGTAGATGCTGAGATTGTCGAAGGCATTTGGCCAAACTAAGAGCCTTTGTCGCTTTCAGCAAGGTTTTTTTTCCTTTCCTTTACAATATGGAGCTTTTTCTTTCTTCTTTGGGCTGGTTTTTTGCGTTTTCTTTACCCAAGGACTTTTTTCTGTATTTGATTTTTCCATAGGAGTTAGCGTAAAGAGCTTCCACATGGGAATTTTTGTCAAGTGCACGATGTAAATAAAAATATGCAAATGACATGAAATACGAGCAATGAACGTTTGCCGCGAAAATTTCCCCAAGGTTCAAGAGTGTGACACCTTCCTAGTTTATTAACTTTATTTGTAAATGCGTTTTTTCTAAATAACTCGGCCGCTTTTTGAGATTTTTAATTTTCTTTTGGAAACACTAGATAAAATGACGAACTTAAATTTTGTCAAATAAAAGAAAAAAACGATTTTTTTGGTCTCTGAAGGTGGGAAATAACATTAAAACTGCAAGATGACTACAAAAACACGATAATGCGAAGGGCACAAAATACAGTGGATGCTTTGAGTTTTCTCTTTAACAAGTACTGATGTATGTTGAGTGTGTTGCATACAGTTTATATGCTAATATAAGCATTTTAAAGAAAAGAAATGTTGCACCCCTGAAAAAAAAAAACAGGTGTCATGTTATACCCCTGCCTTCACATAACAGCCACTCTCCTCTGCCCCCAAGATGGCAGGTGTGGAGAGGGTTGACTGTAGGAGAGATTTTCTGATTGAGACCATTGAGATTTTGGTAAAAGAATGGTTGTTAAACATAAAACATGGTAAACATGGTAAATTTAATCAGGTTTGGTTGATCTGAAGGCCCAAATACTAATGGGAAAATGCTGAAAGTAGCGTTTCTGAGCATATGAATTTCAAAATTTTTTGTGGCAGCATGCACTAAGAACCCCCCTAGAAGCATCATGCCTTCGCGCCCCCCCCCCCACCCCACTAGAAGGTCTTCACCTCGTGCCTTCACTGCTTAACATGCAGCTAAGCCCCCAATTTTTTTCGCTCATATACATCTTGTTTCTGTTATCACCACTGCCAAATAATGATAGTTTTAACTATATTCGTTAATTTTCTATGAATTTTCAATTTTTGTAAAATTGGCCTTTCCCACGGCCACAACTGAGTAATAGCAAAGAATGGGATGAGTTGGCCCGTGGTGTCATCGAAGGAGTAACAATGTTTTGCTTCTGAGAAGAATATATACAAACATACAATAGTGTGATTCAAAATTGTTGCAGAATGCAAAGATGTGTTGGAGGGAGTAGCAATACAACAAGCTTAGGAGAGAGCAATCCTCTTTATTCAATACCTCTATCTCAATGACACTCTTCCGGAAGTGAAAATGAAAAAGCAAATTTGTAAGCAAATTTCATACTCCCAGAATTCTCTATTTGTCAATTGCCCATAATTCACTCTGTTTTTCCTACAAATTTTGCAGAAAGTATTGTGAAATTGTCTTGGGAATGTACAGACCTCTCAAGAGCATTTCACAACAATAGTTTATGGAAAATTGGGGGGGCAAGCATAGTGAATTGTTGGCATTTGGAAAATAGAGAATTGACAGCCCTGACTGCTGTGGCCAATTTTGCATCCAAGATCCACCAGCCAGCCAGCCGGCCGATTGTGCGACCAGTTGTCCCATAAAATCTCACTCCAGTCTGCATTAGGACTAACCCAATAAGAAATACTGGTTGATTTTCAGATGCTTCTAGCAATGCGTTACCAACGCTTTCTTACAAGTGCTTAAGGTCATTCCCCAGTATTGCATTGTGCATTCCTACTGCGCATAATTTCACGCGTGATTAACGCGCGCGCATTAAAAAATGGCAGCTTTTTCTTTACGGCTGGACCTTCGCATGGAGGTAATTGGTCATTTTCTTACAAACGAGTATGGTGACCTATCATTTTTTCTCTTGTTTTAAATTGAGTAATATATTTCTCTGTATAAAATATAGACCAATTCTCAGTGTAGGACAAAAAACAATCGTCGGAAATGTGAATTTAGCAAGCAATCGTGACTACAACCATGGTGCTATTATATGGATTTATTGGGTATAAACAAGGTGCTGTTGCTCCTAAATGAACGTGGGGACCAGTCATTTTTATTTTAAAATTTAAGTTCCTATAATATAAACAATCAATAGGCAAAGTTTCACAAAAATCTCTGTGTAGGTTCTATTTCAGTGGTATGACCTTAAAATGCCATCTTATTTTAAGAAGCTTTGGTTATTACTTATTGTAAGTGTTTCTCATGAAAACAAGTTTTCTTTTATGAAAAGAGTAATTTCAGTGCATTAAAATGGTTCCACAGTTAGTTCAGATAACTCAAATGAAATGGTTGTTAAAACCTCTGGTCAATTTGTTGATTAGAGAAAATGTTAGTAGCAGCTTGTTTTAATTGTGTCAAAAGTTTTAATTTTTTCATTAATCTCAATTGTTTGGGTGTACGTCATGCAATGGTGATGTAGACAATGTGGTCTGTCAACATTGTCTTGCAGAGTTGGTAAACATTTTTAAATAACTTTTCTGCTGTGGTCATGAAGTCCAGAGAAAAGATCTTTGTGAAAGTTTAGTGTCAGAATCATCGTTTCAGTTAAAGAAGTTTTGGTTATTACTTATTGTAATTTTTCTGTAAAGCATTAGTTTTTTTATGCAAAGAGTAATTCCATACTTTGCAAAGGTTCAAATTTCATATCAATCATCACTCACCGTGCAATTCATCAGTTTGCTCATAGAGGACTTTGATTTCATTTCTGTACCAACTTCAAAAATTCCAATTTTTTGAGTAAATTACTCAACCTAAATCTGGGAGAAGAAAGTAATGTTTGGAAAAAGTACGGATAAAATATTGAAATTTTTTTCAAACATGTGAATGAACCCTGCGTTCAGTATGTTTAATTGTGAATACCATGTGCAGCAATGGCATAAATTGGCCTAACTCTGTAGTGAGTGTTCAGCCTTGAAGGCCCAGTGCTTACTGGTTTTTATTCCCTCTTTTTTCCTCAGGGGAGTTGAAGCCAAACAGCCAAACTCTGCTATCCGAAAGTGTGTGCGTGTACAGCTCATTAAGAATGGCAAGAAGATCACAGCTTTTGTGCCAAATGATGGTTGCCTTAATTTCATTGAAGAAAACGATGAAGTTTTAATCTCTGGTTTTGGCAGAAGAGGTCACGCTGTTGGTGATATTCCTGGAGTGCGATTTAAGGTTGTAAAGGTTGCTAATGTATCACTTCTTGCTCTTTTTAAAGAGAAGAAGGAACGTCCTCGATCTTAATGAGACTGTAACAACAATAAACTTGTGTAAATTGTTTCAGTACATCTTGTCTGTGTTTTTTTGTGGTGTTATAACTTTTTCCCCTTAAAGTAGTAAATTGTTTAATCTTTGTGCAGGACAGCTGCTTTTGGCACTAGACAATGCAACAGGCCATTTGTCTCCAAACATCTACCAAGTATAAACCATAGTTAATAGAGGGAAATGGTTAGGAAGGCCAGTAAACATCAAAGAAGCAAACAAATAGACTAAGAGTTATGTTGAAGGGCCATTGACCCTGCACATGTTTTGTTTTATACTTACTGACTATGCATGAATTACATAATCGCAATGCTTCTACCGTTTGTATTTTGCCACCCAAAATAGTAAACATACAAAAAAGAACTTTGCGAAGTTTCCTAACCATTTCCCTCAATTAACTATGTATAAACCTGCCAATAGCTTGGCCACATTTTTTTTCCCTGTCAAAATGACTTATGACGTAGTTCATATTATTAGTACCCTAGGAAAGTTTGCAATGAGGCCAAAGTGTCCCAATGTCACACACCACCACAGCTAAGCACAGTTCCCATAACTTGAAGCAACTTTGAGTACTGTGATACTGAGAAACAAGAATTGGTAAAAGAAATCAGGTGTATAGGATATTTGAGGTAAAATTACAGTACGACACATCAAGGGACTTTTGGTTCTTGTTATTTTTGAGCTTTCAAGGTTTTAAGAACTCAGGATTCCATTCTTACCACTATCATTGAATAGAATGCTAGTCCTAATAAGACACCTTGTAAACAGTCAATTTGAAATCGTTGTCGGTAGCACACAATCTAACGTGAAAGACAGTTCAACTTTTACTTGCTATAAAGTTTAAGAACACGGCGATAAATCACGAAACATTTTGGCTACAAAAATAGCTTTAAATTTGGCGGGCGGTTACAGTAGATAGAATACGACCTGCTAAGTTGATCAATCACAGCGCGCGTAGTAACTGATATATATTTTTAACAAATTGACGTCAGTTTTTTATGCGTCTGCCCTCTTATTGATGATAAATTGCTTCATAACATTGTCAAAGTGGCTGAGGAACCACGAGCCGCATGCGAGTGGTTACGCAGTGAACTTTGATCAAAAACCGGGAATAAACGAGGGGAAAAGACGCCGTAAACTTGTCGTAAACAAAAATAAGTGAATTTTATTCTAAATGACGCAAACATTGTCAGTAGCTTTTCTCATTTTTTGATTGGCTACTTAAAAGAGTCAAAATCTCATTGGTTAAAATGCTGACAGGTTGACAGCTGAAAGTTGCAGAAATTAAAATTTCATAAATTAAAAGCCCATACGTTACGTATGGGCTTTAAGCTCATATATACGACCGTTTAGATCGCGTATAGACGTATTTTTAAAGGGCCACACATTTGCGTAAATTCAAGCGCGGGGATATGCGAAATAAATGCCCAAATATACGCGTCCTACAAGGACCCATATATACG